AGCATCCTGCCACATCCTTGGCTCTTTTTAATGATACATCTCAGGAGAGCACCACTTTATTATTTTGAACCTTTTGGGAGGAAAAGCACAAAGTACAGCTCGAAGTAAATGTTTTCCTGCAGATGGGCCCGAATGAGTCAGAGGTTTACTTCTTGTAAGAGTGATGCAACATTGTGCGTGTGTGTGCCTGGAGGCGTGCTACCAACCTCTCTCTGCTTCGTTTCCTCACTGACCTCATCATTGAGTTGAGGCTGTTAAGAGAATTAAATGAGTTAATACATTCAGGGGAATATAGCATAGGGCCTGGCACCTAGTATGCACTCCATGAATGCGTGCCATTATTATTTATTGTTGTTATTTGTACACAGAAGCTGCACACCTGCCTACTAACAGAAAAAAAAAGGCCACAGAAGCAAATTAGGAAGCTACTATCAGGTCTATGGCAAGCCATTTGGGATATATCGCTAAGGCATCTCTTGAAATGGGGTGGAAGGGAGCAGAGTATCTGGGAGGAGTTACAATTCCTAATACTCTTATTTTCTTCCCAGAGAAGAGCTCATTTTCTTTGGACCTGGCCCGTGGCTTATGACTGCTAATGGCGCCAATGTGTTCAATGGATGGATGGTCACGCAGCACTTATGCGTAACTCCAGCAGAGCCCAGTAGGCATTATGCAGGTGCTTGGGGGCTCCCCAAAGGCTTAGGTGAGAATGAGCCTTGGGAGATGTAGGGCTTTGTGGCTCAGCAGAAGATGGTGATGAGGGGACATCTGCCCTGAACCTTCACAGGGCAGCCTGGGAGAGCTTCCAGAGGCTCACGCTGAAAATCACATGAGCCCTGAAACTTCCTGTTGCTCCCCTTACTCCACGGCACGGCATTTCAGCCCCACCAGGGCTGGCTCCTGACTCCTCCAGACCTGTCTCCCACCACACTTCTCTGCTCAGCCCCTGAGCCTCACTTCACTGCCTCTGCCTCCTGCTGCTGCCTCAGCCCCCACCCACCCCCATTCCCTGCAGGGGACAGCCAACTTCAGGGACCAGCTCAATGCCGCTTCTGTGAAGTCTTCCTAACCACTCCCCTCCCCCACGCTCCTTCCTCCCTTCACCCCACCTTGTGTTTCTCCTGCCTGTTGCTCTCCCATTTGTGCCTGGGTTATAGTTCATTGTTCACAAGTCCTCACAGCCAGGCAGGACCTTGCCCCCACCGTCCCACAGCTTGTGGCAGACACCAGCCGACAGTCCACGAAGTCAGAAAACTAATCAGCCTGTACCCAGAGGGAGTCTTGAATCCCAGGCAAGGCAATGAGAATGGGGGCCTAATGTTGAGGTGCTACCACTACCAAGTTGGGAATCCTTCCTTCTATCTATTTTACGTTTTTATATCCACTTGTTTGGTGATGCTAAAGAAATATGCACAATAACTTTGGTAATCAATTAAAAGCCTGATACCACTACCTCTTTTTTCCTGGCTTAATGATTAGCCTTCAGGATCTCCTGACTGACTTTCACAACTAACAAAACGTGTTACCTAATCCTTATTATATCCAGTCCTTTCCTCATATTGTTAGAGTCTGTGGATGACCTTAGCGTGTTCACCTCGAGTTCTGTCAGCCCAGGCAAACACAAATGCTCTGGGCAAGGACTTCCGAGGAACATTAGCGCAGTCCCTCTGCCAGCCGCCTGACAAGGAAGCAGCTTCTACTCAGAATAAGTATAAATTAGCTAATGCTGAAACTGCAGAAATTTTCAGTCCATGTCTTGTGTCTTGAATGATTCTTCCCTCCTCCAGCTGTTCATTCAGACATTAATTCTAGGTCTCTGTCACACTCAGGGTTGAACCTTGTGGTGAAATGCTAGTGGTATGGTAACTGTAGGAAGGCATATATAATTTCCCTGTCAGCGTGGTTTTAAAGTCCTCATTCAGTGGGCATGATATATTAAAGAAAAGATAAATGGTTATGGGCCAAAAAAATCTGTGGAGTCAACATATGCATGAGAAAGTACCGTTTTAACCTTTAATCATTTTAGCCAAGGAGCAAAATCTATTTTTATTGCTTAGGAGTAGTGGTGCTAATTTGATTACAAGCCATGGTCTGTAGGGAAAGGAAGTCCCCACAAAAACTGTAGTCCCCAGTATGAATCAGGAGATACACAAGAACCTCAGTTTAGAGAGGGGACAGAGGCGGGTGGTGGGCTGGGGACAGAGCCTCAATGCAAAGAAAGAGGCTGAGCGGCATGTGTGTAGCTGCTGCTGCAGAGCAAGACCACGCAGGGGCCTGCATGGAATGTGATCTGGAAAGCAAGGCCTGCCCTTCCTGGATCCCTGTGAGTGTGCGGGATTAAGGTCTATGGATAAAGAAACCACGGGTCCTTTCCACACCTCTTCAGTGCTTACAGAGTTGCCTCTGTGTTTCCCAGGTGTAAATGAGATCGTCTTTGGTGAGGTCTGATCATAATAACCACCCTTTATTATATGCTTCCTGTGTGCGAGGCGCTTTGCTAAATGCTTTATAGGGAATATGTTCTTTAATCTCCCAACAACCCTTTGCAGTAGGTGCTATAGCTCACTTTATGGACAAGGAAATTGGGGTCTGAGAGAGGTTGATCATTTGCCCAAGACCGACAGCCAGTCAGTGGTGGAACTGGGATTTGAACCCAGAGACTGTCTGCCTACAGAGCCTGTGCTTCCCTTCACCACCATCCTTTTAAATAGCACTTTGTTCTATCATTTGCCCAAGACCGACAGCCAGTCAGTGGTGGAACTGGGATTTGAACCCAGAGACTGTCTGCCTACAGAGCCTGTGCTTCCCTTCACCACCATCCTTTTAAATAGCACTTTGTTCTAATGAAAACTGATAGTGTCATGTCCACAAAGTTAGAGTTAAAAAAAAAAAGCTCTCTGATTCACCAGGGGACTGGGGAAATGCCCTTGAACTTGGTTTTCAGTCTATAAAAGAATGATTATGCCATTCTTCACCCACCCACCCTACAAATGTTATTTTCAGGATTAATGAATTGGTCTTCAGGGCTCTGAGAACCTTAGATGATTAAAGATGCTTAGTTAAATAATGAGCAAATGAGAATGTCCACGTCCCTACTCAAGACTTAAGTCCCCAAACTGGGGACAGCTTTCCACCAACAGCCAGTTTGGGATTTTAAAGCAAATTTTGCATGCATTCTAAGTCAGAAACCAAAAGTTCTTTGTGGAATACCATGAAGGCATTCCTGAGGGACTTTGTCCGACATCTGACTGAGAATATCCCTTTTGAGGCAAACGGGGTTATCCTCTGGGGGAGGTGGGCACCCAACCTTCTGTCTTTAAGAACCAAACATTCCTCTCCAGTTGGCTGGGTGAGGAGGGAGTTCGGTTAAGTGGGTCAGTTCATTCTACTTCCTTACTCCTAGACTTGTTACTCCTCTGTCACTTACTCTGATTAAGCCCTGCCTCGTTGGGGGCTGGATTACTGCAATAGACTCCAAATTGGTTTCCTTACAATGTTTGTGAAGGGGTGTATGAAAGGATTAACTTGCATATCATGAGATAAAAAGCTTTCATCCCTTATCCAAGCCAAAGGAATGACAGAAAGCCACGCAGGCAGTATTCAGTGTATTTTCCTAAGAACGTTATCAATTCTTTGTTGTAAACTGCAGTGCAAGTAGTATTTTTAAAGATTTCAAGGGAAATATGAGAACTAGATGGCTTGAAATTATCATACGATCATATGGGGAAGGTCATTTGGAATAATGACCCATTATTGTCTTCTCATATGAATATAAACACACACAGACACACAGATACACACCTGATAGAATATGTATTTATTAAAACTTAAAATTACAAAAGCCAGGGAGCAAGAAGAAAATGTTATTATATAAAGGAAAAAAGTCAGAGATGTACAGTAATGACACCGTACCATTTAAATTGTGTACTTTTTCATTTCTAGAGTTTCTATTTGGTTTGTTTTCTACTCTGCCTCTTCATTTTTCACACCAAGCTGTTCATTCCTTATGGTCATCTCTTTAGCATCTTAAGCATAGTTCCTTGAATACTTTATTTCAGATGATTCTCAGGGTACAGAGTCTCTTCTTTGTGGTGCTGTTCATTTCCTTGGGTCATCTGTAAAGTTTTCCTGTGAACACTTCATCCTCTTCAAGGGTTGTTGTCTGTGGGCCTCCCCCTTTCCCTGGCCTCGGGGGATGTGGTTTTGCCTTGCCTCCACAGACCACAGCGATGGTTCCAGGCAGATGGTGCATTTCTTTACCACTTGCCTGGGATGGTTGGTTGAGTTTGTATTGAGTATAAATCCTAAATTTGTGCAGAGAGCTCAGTTCTCTAGCAAGGGCCTGCGCATTGTCTCTTACCCATAAGGGGTTAAGTCCCCAGCCCCCAACCCCCAAAGCCTTTACTGATTTCGTGCTCATTGAGACTTTGGGTTCAGCTCTCACCAACCACCAGGGCCTGCTTTTTTTCTAGCACCTAAACTTCCTTTCCTGCCCTCAAACTCTGCTGTGCATTAAAAAATAATTTATGCTTTACTTCTCATTTCCATAGGTTTGTAGTGGGAAGTTCAATCTATCATATTGACAGAAGTACTTATTTATCTTTTCCATTTACTGCAACTATATGAAAATATATGTGCATATAATCAGACTGGAAGGGACTTGGAAATGATTTGTTATGGGTTTATAGTAACTAGTTTTATTTTGTAAATATTCTATGTTGTCATTATATTGTCTTTAAATAATTTTATTTATTTATTTTTCCCCCAAAGCCCCAGTAGATAGTTGTATGTCATAGCTGCACATCCTTCTAGTTGCTGTATGTGGGACGTGGCCTCAGCATGGCTGGACAAGCGGTGCGTCGGTGCGCGCCCGGGATCCAAACCCGGGCTGCCAGCAGCGGAGCGCGCGCACTTAACCACTAAGCCACGGGGCCAGCCCTATATTGTCTTTAAAACAAGAAGAATCATCATCTTTTTAACTATTGTGTCTTTTGTTTCAGAATGTGTATACTACAACTGCCATTAATGGGACAGATTTTTGTACATCAGCAAAAGATGCACTCAAACTCTTATCCAAGAATTCAAGTCATTTTACGTCTGTTAACTGCTTTGGAGACTTCATAATTTTTCTGGGAAAGGTGAGATGTATTCATTAAAATAATAAATAAAGGAACTTGGGATCCAAAAATTAAGCCATACAACCAGGCTTCAAAAGAGAACTAATGTTTCTTGAGTGCTTACTCTAAGGTAGATGCTGTGCTTCATTATCTCACTTAATCCTCAATCCTGTGAAGTATCCCTTTTTTGCATATAAGGAAACTAAGGTTTAATAACTTGTCTAGGATCCCACAATAGGTAGAGCCAGGATTTGAATCCTAGTCGTACTCTTAGTTATGATCAATTCTCTCTACCATTCCGAGTCCCACTTTTTACTATCTAAAATGAAAATGCTACTAGCCTCAGAAAATGGATACATTTTGTGTGGGGGGTGGGGGTGTTGTCATATAAAGACAAAATTGTTAATGTCCCAGATGGAGCCAAAGTTACATTTCTGCTGTCTTCTGAATTGTTTTTTTCAAGGAATTGTATGTAGTCTTGTGAAACAAAGGAGCATCTTGGAGCTCCAACATCTCATGGTGTAAAGGACAGCCCCTGAACTTGGGATCTTGAATACCTCCGAACCTCAGTCTTCATCCCTATAAACTAAGATGACACATGCCCTTTCCAGGCAGATATTGATGAAAGTGGTGTTACAGCCCCTACTTGACCATGCTCCAAGTTGAAGGTTCTTCATACTGTGCCAGTGTCTCTCCATGTGATTGTCACCCAGTGGGCCTAATACTGCACACCTCAGTTTGTCTGATCCCACTTCCACTTGACTCCCTTCAAATTCTTGACCACACCCATCCTGACTTTCCCACCACATCTTCACTATTCGGAGCTAGACATCCTCGCTTCTTCCAACCGTTCCTCCACATAGGACACGAATGCCGGGGCCTTCAGTTGTGCCCCAAGTGAACAGGATCTCGGTCTCCAGTTATGACACGGCCAATGCCAAATATGGGGACTCTTGGCTCCTCATGTAGCATTTTGTGCTTCTGTGGCATTTGGTATGTCTCTGGTGCATTACTATCATAGTTAACTGTCAGTGACAAGTTATAACATGCTTGGATTTCACAGGTGTGTGTTAATTGCACATATATTTTAAGGCTCAGCTGGGCCCCAGAGACTTTTCATGTGACACTAGCTCTAGAAACACAAACTGATTATGCCTTTCAAAACAGCCTAAATAAGTTGTAGCTGTATTTAAATGGATAATATTATTTATGTTAGCTTGGTAGGATTGTAGATGATATATTTTCCAATAACTACTTCCAAAAATTTTTGGAATAAGGTTTCATCCTTATAACAGATTTATCTTGTATTTCATTTTAAGCAATAATTCATTTTCCTGTATTTCCCACAAGGAACACATAATTGCTAACAAGCTTCTAATGAGCATGTGATAACCAGTGATTCTTTGTTTTTTGAATGAAGTAGCATTCAGATATTCACGTCCATCTTTGTGGATATCCAAGGGCAACGGGGACTCCAGATGGGCTCCATTTTGTCTGTTAGAGAATTAGGTACATCATGGCCTATAATCATGTTCCTGGAAATATAATAATTACATATAGCCAAAGCCTGGAGTAATGTTATTATCTCCCCACACCAGCCTTGGAAAGCCCTTCTGCTTTAATCCCCAGGGTAACAATCATCACATAATTTAATTGCAATATATCCACTCAACGGATTGTCGTACTGTTATTAGAAACAGCATTTATAAAAAAGTTTTTAAACGAAGATGCTTATTTGTGATGTTAAGGGAAAAAAACAATAAAAATTTTGTGATGTATCATCACATCTACATAAATACAGAAACCAGACCCAGATAAAATGGAAGTACATAGCCTCTTCCCACTCTCCAAATTAACTGGGTTTTCTTTGGGTATCATAGCTTCTCATTTTTTTCTTCTTCCTATTTCATCATACCAAATTTTCTGACATTTACAATAGGGCACATACACACACACATACATACACGTATATGGTACTATTACTTGTAACTGACAAAAATCTTTCTTAAAATATTCTAACCAATCAATTTATAAAGATTTTCAACAAAATCTTGTTTTGACAGGTGTTAGTGGTGTGTTTCACTGTTTTTGGAGGACTGATGGCATTTAACTACAACCGTGCACTCCAGGTGTGGGCAATCCCTCTGCTATTGGTTGCTTTTTTTGCCTACTTAGTAGCCCATAGTTTTTTATCTGTATTTGAAACTGTGTTGGATGCACTTTTCCTGTGTTTTACTGTTGATCTGGAAACAAATGATGGATCATCAGAAAAGCCTTACTTTATGGACCAAGAGTTTTTGGTAAGCAAACGTTTCATTTCCTGTCGCAATCTCCATCCTCACCATCTCAAAAGTGTGGAAGTCCCACACATAAGGGAGGCTTGTCCCTAGCCTCATTTTCTCTTACGGGGCCTCTGTGAGCTTCCACCACATGGCCTGAAGGTCCTGAGAGTGAGATTTGGACTTTATTTTCCAAGGCTGAACTCACCTCCCTTATTGAAACCCTCTCCCTGGAGAGAAGTGAAGCTCAATTAACACTAACCAAATGACCCTGGGTAGGTGTTCTGGACACAGTAGCCGTCCAAGTCCCTTTGGTGCTAATGGTTTGGTCTGGCCTTTTGGACAGTGTGGCGGTTTAACAGTTGATCTTTTACTAAAGCATTTTTGCATCACCAAGTGCCGCGTCCTACCCGTTATATTTTGGGGAGCACACACTCCAGTGTAGACTGATCACCGGTATTGACAGATCTGCAGTTCTCAGGTCCTTTATTAACTGAGGCATACCAACGTGAGGAAAGCCACACCCTCAGCGGAGCCCCCATCCTGCTTCTAATCTGGAAATAGCAGGCAGCTGTTTCCAACAGCTTTTGCGACACAGTTGTTGCTTATTTTTCTTATCCTGTGTAGACAGGGATATTTTAACAGCTGAATGAAGTCTCTCATCTCTTTCTGCTGTCTGGGTCAAGTGACATTTTCTTTCATTCTGTTGCCATAAAACTTAGGTGTTAAAGCCCTTTTGCTTTTAAACAGAGCATTCAAAGCACTCTTCAGCCAGGCACTGAAGTTTCACAAGCACTTCTGTAGTTTTATCATTAAATGTATCCTCATCCTTCTCCATATGAAACATACAAATACAATAGCACTTTAACACATTTGTATGTACTCTCAAGACAATATTTCTGATGGTGGTAGGAAGCTAAGCAGGTCTTCTTTCCCTGATTTACACTTTTTCAATTAAAAATCTATTATGAGGGCCGGCCCCGTGGCTTAGTGGTTAAGTGCATGCGCTCCACTACTGGCGGCCCGGGTTCGGATCCCGGGCGCGCACGGACGCACCGCTTCTCCGGTCATGCTGAGGCCGCGTCCCACATACAGCAACTAGAAGGATGTGCAGCTATGACATACAACTATCTACTGGGGCTTTGGGGGGGCGGGCGGGGGAAGGAGAAGGATTGGCAATAGATGTTAGCTCAGAGCCGGTCTTCCTCAGCAAAAAGAGGAGGATCAGCATGGATGTTAGCTCAGGGCTGATCTTCCTCACAAAAAAAAAAAAAAAATCTACTATGAAATCTAGCCCCCAAAATATTTTAATTCAACAGGGAAAACTTTTCTAAGGATTAAATTCCCCAAAATGATATGGCCAAGTAAATGACTGCCAACAGTGCAGATACATAACACTGGTCTAACTCATTCTTCTGTTTTTCAGAGCTTTGTAACAAGGATCAACAAATTAAATGACGCAAGGGCACAGAGAGACCAGAACTCCTTAAGGAACGAGGAGGGAACAGAACTCCGGCCCATTGTGAGATAGGTGCCCGTTAGGTATTGGTAGCTGGACAAAGTTTCCTTCTTCTAAGAGCCATTTATAGAATAAATGATAAGGCCCGATGGGCCTTATTCTTCACTGTTTTTGTCCTATTGTTCGACCATGTTACAATACAAGAAACATAAAAGTTTACAACCTTTTTGTACCAACTGGGACAGAAAAACTTATTAAGACTGTGTTTATATGCATCAAAGAGCACACTATGTAAAAACTCCTTTCAGGGCACCAATGAAAAGGACACTCCTCACTCAAAACCAATAAACAGACCTTAGCAGAAGTCTCTGGAATGTTGCTGTAGTACAGAGCAGAACTTTTCCCTACTCATCCACTCCTGGAAATGTGCTAAATATGTTATAACTTTTCAGATACAGTTCTTAGATCTAGTGACAATAAAAACCAAAAGTTTAACTGTAACTACCACCTGATGGGCATGGTATAAAAGAGACAGATGTTTAACCAGATCTGACTTAAGTTTGTAAAAAGTACAAGGCTACCTCTTACAAATTAGCAGACATTCTGGAGAAGTGGTTTTCGACCACAGCCTCACCTGAGAATCCCTGGAGGAAGATTTAAAATACTTAGGCCTGGACCCCATCCCCAGAGATTTAGATTCAATGGTGGCTGGGGGGCTGTGTTGGGTGCTTTTCCTTTTTAAGGCTTTAAAGAGACGGGAACATGTAACATGTTGATTGGCAGCCTCATTTCAATTAGATAAATAGAATTATTTATAATTCTATTTATTTAATTCTAAATAGAATTACCCGCTCTCCTAACAAACAGGAGGGCCAATCTGTCTTATTTGGCAGGGCAAGCAGTGCAACAGAAGGCTTCCCTGAGCCCCTCCTCACAGATGGCATGAAACAGCATGCCTGCTCAGGTCTACCTCAGCAAATGCAAATCATGACTTTTTTCTTAAACAGCACCACTGAATTAGTTGAGCTCCGACAGTCTGCTTTTGGAAAGGGATTTCCAGAGCAGTTTCTGGGAAGCATTAAACTTAGTCATTGTGGCATGATAAGCAAGCAGACTGTGCTTCTGTGGGTGCATCAAACCCCCATGTTTGTCCTCATTATCAGCCTCAGCAAAACACAAGCAGGCACATTTCACCCCTAAGGCCTAACAGAGCCAATCCTATCAGAGGAAATCACTTGGCTGAGAAAATGTCACCAAGTTTGTTACCAATTTTCTTTTAGTGATTGATTGGATTTTTTTGTTGCTTGACCTTCTCTATGTCATGACTGAAGGTTAGGTTTTGCTAACACTTCATACTATAAATCCTAGTTTATTATCAAACAGAATATACTCTTCCTGATCCAGTATGTTTCTTATTAATATTTACTCACCCTAAAATATGAACATAAAATCCCCCCAACCCGTTCCACCAACGTTCCTGAAGACAATTTTAAGATTATTCCACGTTGGATTTAGGATGAATTTGGGGCAGCTGAGTCACAAGAATAAGGGTCAAATAATGGTTTGAATCCTGGCTGTCATTTCGATGTGCGATGGGCAGGTCCCTTCCTTTTCCTAAGCCTCAGTCTCCAGCACAGAGTGCATTGTTATGTGGATTAAGTAAAGAAATGTTAAAATACCTTAGAACAGTACCTGGGAACGAGTACTTACTTAGAAAAAAATCTGACTCTACCTATCTGGAAGTTAGCCAGAAAATAATCAGCCTGTGGCTCATATGAATGTTCAAAAAAAATATTTATTTATAAAAAATACAATGGGATAAGTTTATGCTGAGAAATGCAGCAATAAATACAGGTGAAGAAAACAGAGCAACTCTACATTGATACATTGGCACAGACGGGAGGAGCACACTCACCCCCAGACCTAAATGCCTGCAGGCCGACTTTGTACACGCTCCTTCGGGAACACCACTCAGAAAGGATCTGCTCAGCTTAGGCAAGAGAATGAGTACACGTGTAATCACAGATGCACACTGAGCATGACTTTATTTCAAAATTAGCACACAATACTGTATAAACATTGATATGTCAATTTCTAAAATGCTGCATCTTAAATTCAATTGGCAAAGACCACATTTAGCTATAAGCATGAGTTTAGTCTTCCATGTAGAAACGAGATACTAAACTGTAAAAAAACAAAAAATAGGTTCCTATTGTTTGAAAATACCAGTTTAAGTAGAAGATTGTAAAAATGCATAGATCTTTCATAAAAGAATTGACTGTACAAGAGTACTCCCCTTTCACAGTATTCCTTTTTACTTCATATGCGAGTTATTGGTTATGCTGTAGGATTTAACTGTTACAGCACTAAAAGGCAACTATTTAGGGAAGAGGCAGAAAAAGGAAAAAGGAATGTATGTAAGGCAATATTTCTTTTAGGTACAATAAGCATAATAGTGTTTTAGGAAGACAAGATAAAAATTACTCAAGGCTAGCTTGGTTCTCACTGAATAAAAACAATGGCTAAATACGGAGCTGCTCTGTGGGACTCTAATAATCAATGCCTTGGTCGCCATATTGGTAATCTCGGGGGTAGTCATCTTGGTACTCGCCGTGATACTCATCTGGGTATTCTGCCTGATAATCGCTATCACTGATTTCTGACCCATTTGTTCCTGTTCCTTGGCTTCCATTGTGAATGACAGGTTCTGTGGGAGCAGCACAGTATTTGGGATCATATACTTGCCGCCCCAGCCCATACACACTCATTCCTTTCTGGGAAGCGACTTTGTTGGTACCCATCTGTAGAGAAATTGTCGAGTTGTCCACTGGTTGTAATGTTAGCTTCTGATCGTAAATGTCTCTCCTGGTACCCGGTGCTAACATCCCCGCCTGGTATGAGAACAGAGTACAAGAGTTAAAACAGCAGCTAAAATCTGTTCTTGTGAATAGTTGATGAATTATGAAATTCACATTGAATGCGAACACTAATATAATAACTTTCATTCAGTTCAAGGGTAAAGCTAGCTTTCCAAAATATTCTGATGCCGAATCTCTCTTATGAAGCAATATTCATTGGCTTTCAAGCTGGGTCAGCCCCTCCTTTCAGCTCTGCTATGAAACTGCTATACAGCCTCAAACAAATTAACTGACTTTTAGTTTTAGGTTTCTCATACACAAAATGGAGACAACACCACCTACTTTGGATTGAAGAGGGGATTACACATGAAGAATGTAAAAACGGGGGCCAGCCAGGTGGTGCAAGCAGTTAAGTGCGTGCACTCCGCTGCAGCGGCCTGGGGTTCGCCGGTTCAGATCCCGGGTGCGCACCGACGCACCGCTTGTCAGGCCATGCTGTGGTGGCGTCCCATATAAAGTGGAGGAAGATCGGCACAGATGTTAGCCCGGGGCCAGTCTTCCTCAGCAAAAAAGAGGATTGGCATTGGATGTTAGCTCAGGGCTGGTCTTCCTCACCAAAAAAAAAAAAAAAAAAAGTAAAAGAGCATAACACTGGCTCACCTGAAAGGTACATTTGAATGCCTATTATAACTATATACACGATCCAGGTTACCAACTTCAAAAGCTTATAATACATTCAACAAAAATTCTGCAACACCGTAGAGCTGGCCACTTCAGAACAACCACACCCCTCCTTTTCAGAGTACGGTAACTCAAGCCTCATTTCTCCTTTTATGCCAAGCATACACTTCCAGATTTAATCAGTAAAAAAAAAGCAAACTTGAGTTGCAGCGATGAGGCCATGCCCCCTGTGGCAGGATGTGTTCCATAGAGGGCAAACGACAGCAAATCTCTGGGCTCATGAAGAAAAAGCTTTTTCAAACCTTACCCCCATTCTTGTTGGATGTGAGACCTGTCTGCTCTCAAATGGTTATGGGAACCTCCTGAGGTGCTGGTGATCTATTTTTAACGGGAAATACTTCCATCTGTGTGGTGTTAGAATACTGGCATTCTCACCGTGCTGTATTTCCATCTACTTATATTCACACATTTAATAGGAATGCTACCTAAATAGTTCTTAGTAGAACACCAGATAATTTTACCATCAATTTAACTAAGGGTTCCTTTAAAAATAAAAGTCAGAAGCATTAGAATGAGCAGTCTACTTGGATTTGGAGCAAGAACACTGTAATAAACATATCTTTTTTCTTCTGGTTAGGTAGAAAGGCTGGCTGTTCTAACTGCCAACAAAAGCCATGAGCCACGCCACACTTGCATTGCTATAGAAAAGGTCCTTTGATTCTTTTGCTTTCTCAGCAAAACCTACTTTCCTGAAGGAATAGACTCTAAATATACCATACAAAAAATACCTACTTTGAACTTAGTTACTAAGACTAAGGTAAGTGCTAATTTAAATAGCCCTTCTGTGTTCTTTGCTACAAGTAGAAAAAGGTATTGCTTACCTGGCTGGCTCCTTTGTTGGTGCCCATCTGCAGACTAATCGTCGTCTGGTCAAAAGGTTTGTCAGTTTGCATTTTGGGATCATAAAGATGCCTCCTAGTCCCATAGGCTGTCATACCTGCTTGGCTGGCGCATTTGTTGGTTCCCATCTTTTAAGTTAAAATTAGCAATAATTACCAGAAGTCAACAACATATACGACACACAAAACACTTCTGTTCTACTAATAAGATGGAAGGGGCACAATTGACAAGTCCCTTCCTGTGCTGAGGCTGCAATCAACTAGACACAAAATCTCCTCTCTGCTTCTACAAACAACTTTCAAGGTGCTCACTCTAAAAAGAAAAATTTCCAAAAAATTCACTGGATATGAAATGTCACAACATAATCAACCATCTAACACCATGCATACAGGAAGAGATGGATGGACACACAAAAGTATTCGAGTGGCAGAATTATGAATGATTAATTTCCTCTGCTACTCTCCCCCCTACTCTCTGTAGCACAGATAACCAAATTAGGGGGTGTACCTTCTTCAGCCATTTCAAGGGACAGAGCAATCTTTGGCTAGACAACATGCTTTTCTGCTCCAGACATGTTTTGCATAAAATGTGATAGCAAACGCCAGGCGTCTTCTCTGGCAGCTTAGCAAGGGCTTCTTTAAGCTTTATCAAAATCACCAACATTTTCATGAGAAAAGAACCACATTTTATTCCTCCAACTCTCACGT